TCTTCTGCATAGCAAGCCTGTCTAGCAAGCCCATGGTGTTTCCCCAGAGGCCACCAGCTTTCTGGACAGGGTAAGGCCTGAGGCCAGAGAGAGCTGTCCTCACAGGACTCAGAGCAGTTAGGCTGTCCCTCCTACTTGGCTGGAGATACATGTGCACCCTATTCTAAGCTGAGGCAGCACAGATGCCATAAACACTACTGCGTGCTTCTCAGCCCAGAGCTACAGACCCTATACATCCCTTCCAAGGACACCAGTCCTCTCCTCACCCTACACAGAGCTTCTGCTCCAAGTCCCAACATCAGTACCCCAAAGAGTCTAGATGTAGCATCCTCTGTCCTAGTGACACCTGGAGCTGGTAGAAAATTAAGGCCTTTCAAGAAGAAGCACAGAGATAACAGCAAACGACCAACCCTGGGGCAGTTTAAATGAGGCAACTCCAGAATGCTTTGGGTCAGAATAGGGCTGGGCTCCCCCTGCAGTATGCTTCATCTGGGTGCCTCTGGGACCAGAAAACCAAGTCCGGAGCCAGAGGCCTCAGAACAGCCCTGGCCACTCCTCTCCTCCCCACCTCTGAGAAGGAGGGAAGGCAAACATGCCAACCAAGGGCAGCAGCTCTAGGGAGGCTGGGTGTGATATTCGACGGAGAGATTTTCGGCTTTTGAACCCACTCTTCTCTCACCCCTCAGAAAGGTCACTGAACTCGTCTTTTACCCGGTCATCCGAGGCTGACGCTGGAGCCTGCTTCTCACCCAGCTGCCCTGGGAAACAAAGAACAGGCTCTGGTTACCAACAGAGCACAGAAAGGCCTCACCTCTGAGGGGGCGATGTCCCTGTCTAAGGACACAGCCTTCCTTACTGGGGCCAGGAGTTCTCAGCCTCAAGCCTCTATTCTCACCCCACATTCACTATGCCAGTCTCTGTCCAAAGGAACGGGAGGCACCATGATTGGCAAGCTGACTGTTCTCATATTCAGGTCAGTGTTCTAGGTGAGAATGGCCCACTCTGGATAATGTACATTTTAAAGGCTACTGTTTTCAAAAAAGGTGTATATATACTTCATAAAGCCAAGCATTCTAAGATGTCTGTGACATCCACCTAGGGCCTTGCCTGGAGTCCATCTCTGTGTTATTTCTAGCTGAACTGCATGGGTACCTACATTTTTAATGTTTCAAGTTTTTGTGTGTGTGTATGACTGTTTTGCTTATGTACATGCGTGGTGCTGGCAAAGGCCAGAAGAGGATGTTGGATCCTCTCGAACTGGAGTTATAGATAGGTCTTTAAAATGCAAGGGCAGCAAGTGCTCTTAACTGCTGAGCCATATCTTCAACCCTCCCGCTTTTTTAGACAGGGTCTCTCTATATAGCCTTGGCTCTATCCTGGAACTCTCTATGTAGACCAGGCTGGCCTCAAACTCAGAGAAATCTGCCTGCCTCTGCCTCCTAGGGCTGGGATTAAGGGTGTGTGCCACTGTGGTCAGCAACCCTGCAGCAGTTTTAAAGAACCCCACTGTGGACTTGCAGGTGGGAATCACCTGGGCACCCATATGTGGCCATGTAAACCAGCACATGAAGGCAAGAGACAGGCAGGAAACTGGCCCAACTCTCCCAACACAATGCCTAGGAACAACTATATTCAACCCACAGCACATATGGGTGGGGTCCAAGCCCCACAGGAGGACCAGTCAGCAGAAGAGGCGACCACACTTGCCCACACTAAAGTGGCAGCCTCATTGTCTGCCTCCATGTCCTACAGACAATAACCCCATTCTTCTCTCTCCCTCAGGCCCCTCAGCCTACAGGAACAACCAGTACCCTCTGGTCTAAGGACAGACAAAGAGGAAGACTGGCTGCCAGATGAGCATGTCATTATAGAAACTGGTGAATCACAGGCCTCCTTGTGAAGGAACAAGAAGTCAAGACAGGCTGGTAGGGCCAGCCCACTCTGAAGTACTGGAGTAGCCCCAGTTTCTATGGGAAAGCACTGAGGCTAGATCCTTATCTCCCAGCAGCTTCCTCTGCATGCCATGATCTACACTCAAAGAGCACAGACATCCACTTTCTGCAAAGACAGCCTTGGCCGGGATACTGAATTCTGTAGCGTAAGCCACAGGAGCTGCTTACCTGGGGCCTCACTGGGAGCCAAGTCTGGCTGAGCATAGGGGCCTAGCCCAGGTGCCACAGAGTTTCCATGTGAGTGCAGCAAGGCCACATCCACACTGGGCAGTGTCTTGGTCTCAGATCCAACTTGGATTTCTCTGGCCTGGCAGAGCTGAGAGGCAGCTCCACTGGGGTTTGACTCTGAGTTCTGGACCAGCCGTGGTGATATCTCCTTGCCCCATGCCCATTTCATTGCTAATGCACTGTCCAAAAAAAGAGCTCTGCAGCTGGAGTCTGTGTCCATGGTGAAGTCATGGCCCTGGTCGCAGCCCCACACAGCCTGGATGATGCCACAGTACTCAGAGGACAGTGTCCTCTGGAGGCTGGGCAGAGACCCACAGTTGGCTGCATGTTCATGTACCCAGCCCACCAAGCTGTGCAGACACCGAGGGCTCGAGGTGATCAGATCAGCTGAGAAGAATCAACAGAAATGTCAGTCTCACGATGGCCCAAACACTAGGCCCAACCTGGAATGCCCACCCTGGCACAAACAGCACTCACCCATACATGCTCCCTCCTCTGCCACTGTGGGAGGCTGAACACCAACCCTGCAAAGCATCAGTGTGGCCACAGTTTAGGACCCTCTCAAGGTCACAAACCCTAGCTGTCTTCCCCAGGGACCCTCTGCTAGTAGTCCTGTCCCCGCTCTTCTAATGCTAGCTTTTCACCCTCAGACCTCTGCAAACCTTGCCACTATAGCACCTCAGTTTAGTACCATGAGGGGCATATAGAGGCTTCTGTCCACCCCACAAGTCATTGCCCTAAACCAATACCCAGAACACAGGGTGACAAACCCCTGAAGGTCCCAAGAAATCCAACAAGGGCCTACTTTGGACAAGGCTTCCTCTGGCCAGCTGGGGAGACATTGACTCTCTGTAAGAAGGACCTGAGAAGGCTGTGGCACTGATAGAATTGGGTGTAGCAGTTCTTGCAGACAAACTGAGGCAGGGCTGGGTCCTGGTGCACAGCAACACCCAGAAGACGCTGGAAGTCCCTAATGAAGACTCGCTCCCCTGAGAACAGTCTCTCTGAGGTCTCCCCAGGCACTCTGTCAGAGATACTGCGGAGGCTCCGTGAGGAAAACTTCCCATGGCAGAGGCGACAGTACCCCATAGCAAGAGTCCGGCCTGCTCCTGAGCAAAGAAGCAAATGTGAAATGAGTGAGATACTTACTTGCAAAGTGAGGACCACACTTCCCACTGGCTTCCTAACCCTGAAGCACAGAAGTGCCCTCCCTGGGCTTCCTAGACACCTTAGCAGCAAGGCACAAGGGCTGCCCTTCCTCACTGAACATTCAACTTTTGGAAGGATACTGTCAAGAATCCTCCCAAATATTTTTTTTGAGGGATGGTCTCACTGTGTAGCCCAGGCTAGGGCTCATAATCCTCCTCCCTCATCCTCTGAAGGGCTGGGACAACCGGCATATGCCACTGTGCCCAGCTCCTTTCAAAGAACCACCACAGATGCCCCCAATGAAGATAAAACTCAGCTACTGCTCAAACATCCTGATTCTGAAAATGTGTCCCACCTGTGCCTCAAGAAACTGATTCATTGTCCCTCCACAGGCGTCCTGTCTGCAGAAAGTGGACACAACCTCACTGCCTGCCCCTAGGGGGACTAAAGGGCAGCATAACTATGGAAAGTCATTCTCAAGTGGTTGAAGAGCACCACATAAATGGGATACGCACTGATGACGTTACCCTAAGCAGCTGCTGCTTACACACAAACGCTCAGCCAGACAAGGAACAGCAGTTCACTTAACTCAGTTCCCACCACAGGTTAAGGGTCTGTTTAATCAACAAGAATCAATCAATCAAAAAAAAAAAAAAAAAAACAACTGGGGTTCAGAGAAGTTAAGCAATTATCCTAATGGTACATCGCACGAAGAGCAAACCCAAAGCCACACCTGTCTGATTTCAAATCTTAAGCACTTAATAGCTCTGACACAGGGCAGCAAAGGATAGGCTGTCTGGCGAGAAGTCACTGCACTAGAAGCCAGAAGGACCGGGCTCTCCGGAACTGGGAGGCCTGGTTTACTCTCAGAATCACTAAGCTCACACCAGGGCCAGGGGACGCCCGGAACCCACCTGCCTCGTCTGTACCGTCCTCGCCTGTGTCCCCGCAGGAGCGCGCTGAGCCCCAGCTGAGTTGCGCCGCCGCCGCCCTGTCAGCGCTCGCTCCGCCGGTGCGAGAAGGGCGACCCCGAGTCCGACCGCTTCCACAGCTGCCGCCCGAACTCCCACGCTGCCGAGCGGTTCCAGGCGACAGGAAGCGGCCCAGCCGGTCCCGCTTCATGGTGGCAGCCGCCACCAGATTCCTGCTCCGTGCTATTCGGTGCGGCTCGGCCCACTGAGTTCTGCTAGACTGGACTTGACTGCACTCACTCCGAGCCGTGCGGCCGCACTCCGCCGGGTTACTCGGCCCCGCTCGGCTGATCCGAGCGGGACGAAGCGAGGGGTGGAGCGAAGTGAGGAGCCGCCCGGGAGCGACAGTGGCCGCTGCTGGGTCGAGAGCCCAGAGTTCTCAGGGTCGCTCAAAACTCGCGACAGGCCCATAAAGGAGAGGCAGCCGGGAGGGTAAACTGCCACGGACAGACGGACGGGCTGTGGCACTTAAGCGAAAGCCGCAAAACGAGAGGTTCTCTCCGCCAATCTTCTCCTGGGGACTCCCCAAGTCCGCACGAATCGCTGACAAGTCTCATCTGACCCCCTTCGGATCTGGAAACCCAGGTCTGCGCGGCGGGGCGGGGCCGACGGAAGTGAGTCTGGGTCCCTTCCGGCAGTGTGCGGCTCCCTCAGCTTCCTCAGCCGTGCACTCCACGTTCCGGCTTGGAAGCGTCCGCCCCGCCCCTGCCGCCGCGGCGTCCCCCGCCCGGCGCCATGGCCGCTGCGGCCGGGGATGGCGCGGCGAAGCCACTGCAAAGCGCTATGAAACTGGCCAACAAGGCCATCGAGCTAGACACCAGCAACCGGCCCCGGGTGAGGCTGGGAGGGGCGCGGCAGCGGCTCCGGGAGGCACCTGGCCCGTGGGTGGGCGAGGGCGGGCGTGTGAGGGGATCCGCGTTTCTGACGCGCGCGGAGCCTCTCGGCAGGGCGCCCGCGGCCAGGGGACCAGGGACAGCTCACCTTGCCCTTGGCCTCAGGTGTACCTGCTTAAAGAGTACGTGTGAAATAGAGCCGAGGTTGTGTTTGTAAAGGACCTGTGCAGCAACCCTCCAAGATGTAGATGACAGATGTGCGCGCGCGCGCGCGCGTGTGTGTGTGTGTGTGTGTGTGTGTTCTTGACAGAGTCTGTGTAAACTTAATCTAGAAAGACTAACTGTTGGCTCATTCTTGATGCTGCTGTTTGCAGTTGCCTTCAAAGGTCACTTGTAAAGGCAGGCAGGCAGACACAGAAGGGGTGTGGCCTGTCACAGAGCACGAATGCTAATTAAAAGGATGGCAACCTGGTGGTAAAGCCTGCCGGGCCAGCCTGGGCTACTTCTATTGGAAAAGAAGAGTCAGTGTTTGTCCACTTCCACCAGCTACTTTTTTAGGGGATCAGGTGTTCCCCACAAAACCAAAATCCTACCTGAAGCCCATTTTATTCTCATCTCTGTAGTGCTGAGTTAAAGATGGGTATTTGACAGTGAATTGAACAAAACCCATACATACCAGAGTGCAATTTGTCTTGAACTGTCGCAGAGCCCAGGGCAGAGGGCAGAGAGGTCACACAGTCGAAACCTGCATCTTAGTGCTCTGGGCTCCTGTGAGCACACAGAAATTTTATTCTGGAGTCTTGAGAATGTTATTTCTTATAACCTAAGCCAGAAAGTGAGACTGACTATCAGGAAGTATTCTCTCCGTAGACTATCAGAAAATAGTTTCTGTAAGACAGGGCAAAGGAAGGGAAAATGGTATCTAACTCTTCTGAGGCTGTTTCCCCCAGCCTCCTGATTGAAGCTCAGTTCCTTCAGTGCTGGAGAGTAGGGCAAGGAGAGGAGAGATATGTCCAGCCAGGAGCTCTTCAGTGCAAAAGTTGGAGGAAGGAATTCTCTGATCTTGTTCTCAGGTGCAAACATTTTTCCTTCAACTCTAGACAGTGGGGATACTGTATCTGTCCTGGGTGGACCATCACGAAGCCTAAGAGTCTCTCAGAAACGAGTGGGCGCTATTGATGCTGTGTTTTGCACGTGGGTGTCTACCTGGCAGACACAATGCAGGCACTTCCCCCCAATCACCTGACCCCTGCTGCTCTCTTCCCTTCACACAGGAGGCGTATGTGGAATACCTGAGGAGCATCCACTACATCTCCCAAGTGTTACTCGAGGACGTGGAAAACACTACCGGTATGCCTTCAGACTTCCTACTCCTGTCATAATGGCAAACTTGTGGGCGGCTTAGCCCGGGATGGTCCCTGAAGCTGGAGGTTTCCCGTTTCTTTCCAAGCTGGTCATTAGTGTTAGCATAGGATGTCATAGTGTAACTGGTGGCACTGAAGGTAGGCGACGGATCAGGATTGAGGTGGGATACTGAAAAGGGGGCTGCACAAAAGTAGGGCCATTGCCGGCAGAAGTCCACCTGAAGTCCTTGAGAAGGAAGCAGAATAGTGCTTTGTACATCTTGGATGGAGATGAAAGGGGATTTGGGGAACCTCCCAAAGCTCCACCCAGCACTGGGAGGAGCAAAGAGCTTAAAGGAGAAACCAATCAGACTTCCTAGGAGTTGTTAGTGCCAGGGGATGTTCCAAGCAGATGATGGGCAATGTTATGTGTAAGGGAAGAAATGGAATCCCACTGTGGGGCTAGGGATTTGTTCAGTTGGTGGAGAGTGCTTGTCTAGTATGCTGAAGCCCTAGATTTGGTCCCTGACACAGCATAAACGAGTGTGCTTGCGAAAGTCTGAACACTTTGAATTTAGGAAGTAAAAGCAGGAGAATCGGAAGTTTAAGATCATCCTCAGCTACACAGTGAATTTGAGGCCAGCCTGGGCTGCATGAGACCCTGTCTCAAGTTTTACAAAAAGTAGAGAATTCTGCTGTGAACATGTAAAGTCTGAGGTACAAGTAACCCCCTGGACGTAGCAACACAGTTCGGGAGCCAGTGAGCTCACCTAAGTTCTGATACTCCACAGACTGAGGCATCAGGACTAGCAGGAGGAACCTTAAGGGAAGTAATATATCAGAGGATAAAAAAAAAAAAAATGTGAATGTCCTGCCATCTTTGGCAAAGCAAGGCTGGGTAAGGACAATTGAGGGGAATAAGGGGGCTGAATGGAGATGGAGTGAGGAGAAAATGGAGTGGTATGAGCTGTTTGTTGTAAGGGGGAGCAGGAGAGTGGGTGCAGGACTTGGCAAAGTATGAGGAGAAGATGTATCTACTGATAGAAGCAGGCCCATCGAGGGCAGGACACAGCACAGACACCTTCAGGTCAGGAGCGGAAGGGTGGCAGTGCGCACTAACATCTGCAGGGGGCAAGTCTGTGGCACAGGCAGCTAGCAGGTGGTGGGCCAGGGAAGCCTGTAGCACCCAGGCCTCTGTGCAGTAGCCACGAGGGCTGCCTGGCCATCCCCCGAGGAACTGTAATTGCAAGTGAGTCGAGTGAGGACTGCAGGCCTGACGCTGAGATACCAGAGCCAGTGTGATGCGTGACTGCCAATCACATGCGTGTATATTGCCTTGAGCCGTGGGGCTGAGATGAATAAGGATGAGCTTGCCTAGAATTTACACTTCTTTATTCTCAGTAAGAACAAGGGTTGCTGTAGAAAAACTATAACCAGTCCCCATGTTCCTTCCCTAGAAGCAGGGGAAACAGTGTCCCCTGATACCTCAAAGATGCTAAAGCTGGCTGAGCAGTGTCTGGAGCGGGCCCAGTCAACAGCTACCAAACTTGGTGGGTATCCAAAGAAGAGGGCTCTTGGTACCTGCTTTGTGGGATGATCCCTGGCCTCCTGACCAGGGTGCTATGTGTGGCTTGCAGGGAAGATGTGCCTGAAGCCAGCCGTCCCTGTGGCTCCTCCCGTCCCCTTGCCCACCAGCCGTCACCGACGAGTGTGTTCAGACGAAGGAGGGAAGCTCTCTCCTTTCCTGCCTCCTGAGATCTTCCAGAAGCTGCAGGTGGCAGAATCCCAGAACTCTAAGAAGTAAGATGGACGAGGTGGGAGGTGTGCTGGGCAGCCGGTGGGTTTGGAGGCTGAACAGAGGGAGCTTCCCTTGGGGTAGCTGGTTAGAGTCGTTCCCAGCGGAGACGTACCGCTTGCCTGACTGAAGCAGATGCAAATTCTCTTAGGAAGAAAGTACCTTCATCTTTCAAAAACAGAGATAGCCATATAGAAACAGAGATGATGAGGTATTGATTACAGAGGAGACCTGTGAAGATTTTAGGTAGTAACCAGGAATAGGTCATACAACATGGAGCTTTGTTTAGAAATACAAAAACACATTTGAAAACACCTGAACAAGAAACTGTAGAGTCAGAGCCAGGAAAAAAAAAAAAAAAAAAGTAGAAATGAAATAAAATTACAACGCCAAAATTTGTTTTTTAAACTATTTAGGGGCTCTGATGCCCTCTTCTGGCCTCCTTGAGCACCAGGCACAGACATACATGCAGGCAAAACACCCATACACATAAAAATCAGTAATAATTAAAAATAAATACAAACTCTTTAGATAGTTAAGAATGTAGCTCAATGGTAGAGTGCTTTCCTAGCATGCAAGATGGATTTGATTTCTTGTACTACCTGTAATCCTAGTACTCAGGAGGTAGAGTCAGGAGGATCATGGGTTCAAATCCACCCTCAACTACCTATTGAATTTGAGGTTAGCCAGGCCAGGGATGGTAGCATATGCCTACAATCCAAGAATGTGGAAGGTAAAGGAAGGAGAATCACAAGAAGTCAGGGCCTGCCTTAACTATATAGTAAGTTCAAGAACAACCTGGGCTAAAAAAAAAAAAAAAAAAAAAAAAAAAAAGGCCAGGTGGTGGTGGCACACACCTTTAACCCCAGCACTCAAGAGGCAGAGGCAAGTGGATCTTTGTGAGTTCAAGGCCAGCCTGTACTACAGAGTGAGTTTTAGAACAGCCAAGGATACACAGAGAAACCCTTGCTAAAAAAGGAGAGAGAGAATGTTTACACAACTGAAGAGAAAATAAAGTTAGTATGCAAAAGCTAAAAAGGCAGATATCACAGAAGCAAGACAGAACATAAGCTAGAAGGCCTAGCTTGTTTCTAGACATTGAAGAGGAAAGATAATGGAGGAGGGCACTGTTTGACAGTATAACAGTGGAGACAGTTTCTACACTCATGAAAGATGCAAGACACGGATGCAGGAGACACAGTGAACCCACATCTCCCTGAGGTACCTGCACTCTTGCTCCCCAGGCCCCATGTGTCTGTGTGTGCTTCTGTATTGGGGCAGATGCAGACATCAACTTCAGGGTGGACTCTTCCCTCCTCAGTCCTGCCCACACCCTTTTGTCTGCTCGCTCTGCAAGCAGGGAGGTTGTGGCATGCTGCCATTTTTTTCACTGAATAGATGCATCTCTCCTTTGGTGGGTTGCAAATGAGTCTTGCTGTTTGGCCCCTGTAGTAGCTTCCAGGAGTTCCATTTTATTGCCACAGATATATAACTTATTTCTATAAATATCAGGTGTCCTCCTCCTGAGAATCCTCAAGTCCCGGCATTACAAACACCAGTGTTCTGGTGCCAGATCTCTGTCCTGCCTTAAACCACCCCTCTGCATCTCCTTCCTACTTCACTACCACCTTCTTTCCTCTTGGTCTTAGAACAAGGTCTAGAGGGTATAAGAATGGTTCCTCAGGTCACTAGCACATTCCTTGGGCTTCCTGTGCATGGACAGCAGCTTGTCACTGTTTTTAGGGAGCTAACACCCCTGGAGAAGGCCTCCCTACAGAACCAGAAGCTGAGGGCCACATATGAGGCCCGGATGGCCCGTCTGGACCCCAGCCAGGCCATGCAGAAGACATCACTGGTGAGCAAGGCCAAGAGAGGAACTGGACTGGTCAGAGAAGGGCCAGGGCAGTTGAGGAATGGGCCTTACTTCCTCCTTTTTTCCCTAGACTCTGTCTCTCCAGCGGCAGATGATGGAGAATCTGGTGATCGCCAAAGCAAGAGAAGAAACCGCATCCTTAAGAGCAGATGGCGGTGAAGTCTTGAGCTGAGGGTGGAGAAGGGGCTGAGTAGGGAGGTGCGAGGTGGGTGTGGGACTGCAAGCCTTTCCAGCACTGAAGCAGCATCCTCTCAAGGAGATGGCCCTAACACTTGCCCTGCTCCCGAGGACCTTGTCAGGCTCTGCCCTCCAGCCTCCCAGCACAAATTAGCTACTCTACCTTCAAGTCTGCCTTCCTGGAAACAACCCCTTCCTGAACCTTCCTCCTGGCATGTCCAGTGCTGGACTGGTCTCTAGAGGACAGAGGCAGCCTTGCCCTCCTAGACCCTTCAGGCATCAAGAGTATTGGAGAAGTACCTGGCAGATGAGGTCCAGGGCAGGGGTGGAGGCACTCAAGTCAGACACTGCTGGCCCCTTGACTCTATTATCCCAGCTCCAGCGGAAGATGGAAGAGCGCCGCTTGCGCCTTCAGGAGGCTGCCAACAGGTGTGTCTCCTCCCTGTCTCAAGACGTGCTGGGATGCCTGGAGGGGGTCCCCAAACCCAGAGGTCTATCCCTGCTCCCAACCTGTCTTCCTCTGCAGGAGGTTCTGCAGTCAAGTTGCTCTGACCCCCGAAGAGCGGGAGCAGCGGGCCCTGTATGCTGCCATCCTGGAATACGAGCAGGACCACGTGAGTCCTGCTGGTCTGGTGGAGGGAGGGCAGAGTTGGGGTCACATGGGCCTGTAGGCGTTGGCTCCTTCCCATGGCCCGGCATCCCACCGTGGAGATCCAAACATGCTTTCCTCCAAGGCCCTCTGTCCTGCAGGACTGGCCAAAACACTGGAGAGCCAAGCTCAAGCGCAACCCAGGGGACCTGTCGGTAGTGAGCGGCCTGGTGTCCCACCTGCTCAGGTATTCAGAGAGCCCATCCTCAGCCTGGATGACAGAGCATGAGCTAGAAAGGAAGGAAATTAGTTAGAAAGGCCTCAGTGAGGGAAAGCTGGGGGCAGAGGACTGCACAAGGACCTTTTGTGCTGATGGCTTTCATTGGCTTCCATTAGCTTCCACAGACCGGATGGATCACACTCTATCCTAAGGTATCCACTAACAGGGAATAGGAGAAGTTACTTCTCTGGAATCTTTCCCAGTGTAGCAGTTTTTTATGCAGGTGATGTCATAGATGAGGACATAGGGCCCAGGTAGGTGACTGAGGTCAGAGAATAGAAATTTAGCTCATACTTCTAAGCTTACTTAAAGAGTAGTTTGAGGTGGGGAAGTGGTAGGCACACGCCATTAACACCAGCATTCCTGAGGCAGAGGCAGGCGGATCTCTGTGAGTTTGAGGACAGCCTGGTCTACAAAGTGAATTCTAGAACAGCCAGGGCTACACAGAGAAACCCTGTCTCAAAAACCTTCCCTCCAAAAAAGTAGATTGAGGTCGTGCCCAGCCTTGAGGGTGGCTGCTATGGTACTGTTTGCTCGGGTGAGAAAAATGGGTGGGCATAGCAGGTGCCCAGCTGGGTAGACTCTTCAGGGCCCAACTGCACCTTCTACCAACCTGCTCTCCTCCTTGCAGCCTTCCTGACCACCCAATCTCGCAGCTCCTGAGGAAGCTGCAGTGCGCCGTCTACAGTGCACTGTACCCTGCTGTGAGCCGGGCGGCCCTCAGTGCTGCGCCTGCCCCAGGCTGCTGCTCCCTGCCTACCGAAGCCAACGGCCTCCTGGCTCCTGGGAGCCGGCGACTTCGGTCCTCCCAGAGCCTCTACTGCATGCTTTCCCCCTCAGAGCCCAGCACAGCCCCAAGACCTCTGGACGGACCTCCGTCCATACCTCCTATCCCCACACTCCACTCAGGCCACCCAGACAGAGAGGCAGACAGCAGCCCAGCAGGGCCTTCCTCACCCCTGGTCGATGCTTCATCCCACCTGCCAGACAAGGACAGCTCCTTTGAGGACCTGGAACAGTTTTTGGCCATGTCTGAGCCGCAGACCCCCGGAGCAAAGAGGGAGCCCTTGCTGGAGTGTCTGAAGAGCACAGTGAAGGACATTCACAACGCCATTGGTGAGTCTGCGAGACCAAGCCAGGAGCTGTTCCCACTGCATCTGCCAGCCCCCAAGTGCAGTTTGCTGCCCTGGACAGCAAAGACCTCTGTCTACTCACATGCAGGAGCAAGCATTCATCCAGAGAGCAGGATGTCCCTAGCCTACCCTAGCCCCTCAGATAGTGGGCAGAGCTGGCGTGGGAGCTCAGGGATGTGCTGCCAGTCACAACCTTTGATCACAAGGTGGCCTGGCTGTGTCTACCCCAAGGCTTCCAGACAGCGAGGAAGGCTCAAGAGCCTTACTGTTCTGAAGTTCCTGGGGATTGTGTAGATTTAGGAGCAGGTACTTTCAGAAAGGGACCATCATCCCCTCCCTTCCACAGACCCTTTAGCTACTGGGGAGCCCAAGAAGAGCTGAGACCTGGCCCCAGGCCACACAACAGCATAGGCAAGGGAAGGGTGTGGGAGGTTGAACAAGTAGAATAGCCAGGAAGAATGAGCCCACAAGCCTTGATGTGCTTAGCTCACTTGCACAGAAGCACTTGGAGCTTCTAGGGGGTGAAGGAGGTAATAGCACATTTGCACATTCCCAACTCTGTTCCTGGCAGACAGACTGCTCTCGCTGACTCTTTTGGCCTTTGAGAGCCTGAATACGGCCACCTCCAAAGACCGCTGTCTGGCATGCATCGAGGAGCCCTTCTTCTCCCCACTGTGGCCCCTGCTGCTGGCCCTCTACAGGTACTGCCCCAGCCTCAGTCACCATCCCCAGGAGCTGGGGTCTCCACCTCAGTCTCCTGGTGACTTGTGTGATCTGGAGGCCATCCCCAAGTGTTCCACGTCTGTTGGTGGCTGTGGAGGGACATAGGTGGAGGCTATTTAGATACCTGAGCAGCTCTCCTAGGATGAACTCCAGATATCCCCAGCCACAGCCCTGCTTGTCTCTGGAACAGTGGTGGCTGAGGTGGCTGAGCCTGGCTTTTCTGCTCTAGGAGTGTGCACCGTACCCGGGAGGCTGCTGTGAGCAGGAGCATGGAGCTGTACAGGAATGCACCCCCTTCAGCCCTTGGCATCCCCTCCAAGCTCCTCCCACGTGCCCCTGAGGCTCAAGCCTCCACCTACCCCTACTGCACCGCAGCCCAGGAACTGGGGCTGCTGGTTTTGGAGAGCTGCCCCCAGAAGAAGCTGGAGTGCATCGGTGCGGGGATCTGAGGGGCCCAGAGGTTTGAGAGGTGGATGGGATGTGCTTTCCCTGCCAGCCTACAGCCCGTCACTAGGCTAATACAGGGCAGTGCTCTCCACCCCAGGCCTGCGTTACCAGGAGGAGACCACTGGGTATAGGAAAGGGCATAGTTCCCCACACACTGGGCCCTTCAAGTCTTCCTGCCCTTGCTCAGCATCCTCTTTCACCCACTACCTCGTCACACTCCATTGAAGCTATTTTTCTGTACCACAGTGCGGACTCTGAGGGCCATCTGCATCTGTGCAGAAGACTACTGCCGTGCCCAGGAGGCCAGGCCTGAGGCTGGAACCCAGCCCCCTGCTGCTGCCATGTGAGTCCAGAATGGAGGGATTCTGGTATGTGTTCCTGCCCTGTGGCTGGCCAGAGCAGACCCTGGTGGCCCTGCTTCACTTAGCAGCAGTGAATCCTGCTTCACTTAGATTATATCACCTCAGAGCAGAGCTCATTTCCCCCAAAGGCCCTGGGCTGAGACAAGGCAAGAAGGATTCCCACCTCACAATCGTGTGTGTTCCAGTCCATCTGGACAAGCTGCTATTGCAATGCCCTCTGACTAGGCCCAGGGATCCTAGGGATTCTGGGTCCTGGTTAACCTGGTGAGACAGAGCTGCTTTTTGAGAAAGACCTGCCTAAGGTGGGCCCCCAAGGGGCAGAGATGATTATCTGTTCACCACCAAGCTCCCAAAAGCCTGTGAGAGCACAGCCAGCTGGAGGATCAGCAGGCACTAGTGTATCCTCACAGCGATGCTGCTACTTGGGCCCAGTGTTAAGCACAGCCAGGACGTCTCCTATGCTGTTTGGAGGTGGGGGTGGGGTACAGGAATTATACCCAGCCTGGCCAAGATGGCTCCAGAGAGCCAGAGCAAGTGTCCCTCTTGGCCCTAAACCCACTAACCTCCTGGTCTCTGCCCAGCAGTGGTGCTGATGACCTGCTGCCCATCCTGTCCTTCGTGGTGCTGAGGAGTGGCCTCCCCCAGCTGGTGTCAGAGTGTGCGGCCCTGGAGGAATTCACTCATGAAGGGTAGGAAGGAAGCAGGTGGCTAGTGGAAAGGGTCTCTGTGGTACAGAGCAGCTGTAGCAAGGGGGACAAAGGAGCCTCACCCCCAGACCTAAAGCACTGGCTGTGATAGGTGTGGGAATTGCGCAGGAGGCCTGCACACTTCCATCATTTCTGCACAGCCTCTGAGATCCACCTGTGCACAGGACACTTTTTCTCCCTTTGGTTATTCAAGACAGGGTCTCTCTGTGTAGCCCTGGCTGTCCTGAGAACTCCTCTCTAGACCTAGCTAGCCTTAACTCATAGAGATCTACCTGCCTTTGCCTCAGGGTGCTAGGATTAAAGGTGTGCGCCGCCCCTGCCACCGCCACCACCCTGCCTCACAGGATGCGCTTATCAGCATGCCCAGTAGCCTTCAGAAGCTAGAGGGTCTCCGTTGAGCAGCATCTGCTCAGGGAAGAGCAGTATGAAATGGCTGTGGGACCAGCACAGGGCCGGGACTGACAATGGGGACACACGCCTCCCAACCCAGCTCCCTAACAGCGTTAGCTGTGGCCACATCATTGTCCAAGCAGCTAGGGTAGATGGTGCCCTCCAGAGGATGAGGCCGTGCATCTGTCCTCAAAGTTGGCACGTCTGTTTTCCCACCTCCACATAGGTACCTGATTGGAGAAGAGGGCTACTGCCTGACATCACTGCAGAGCGCCCTGAGCTACGTGGAGCTTCTGTCCCGGGGACGGCTGGACAAGTAGTGGAGGCTGGACCTTACAGACAAAGGAGCCTCAGGACCTCCACGCTGTACTGTGTATCTGGTTTGGGGACACCAGAGGCCAGCCTGCTGTGGGGCACTCTATAGCTCTTGCCCACCTTCCTAACCACACGTCTGTCCTGAAGGCCTAGCACAGTGCTCTTTAGCAGGACATAGCAGGCTGAGTCAGGCTTGCTCTGTCCTGCCTCTCAGACCCCATAGGAGAAATCTGGAGCTGCTATTTCTTGGGGATCCTGAAACACTGAGGGGCCTCCAGTAAACCTGGATGGCCCTGACCTGGTCTCGTGAATGCTACGCAATCCCTACTGGAATATCAACACAGAAATGGGCACTGGGAGCCTTGCCAGGCCAGTCTAGTTTTACAATCCTCCAGTCTCCTGAAACAGCCCAAGTTTATGTGAGCCAGTTTCTTGTTAGTCAATAACAAGAGAGCTTTACCCTTACCCCAGCCGAGTGGGTGCAGGTACTGTGAGGCTGTGCTGTTTATTTATCGGGCAGCAACTGCCCTGCTTGCTTCTGCTGGCCCAGGTGCCACTGCTCATGCCTGGAACAAGAGCCTGTCTCCTGCCAAGGTCCAGGACATCCTGTTCTGGGGTCACCTTGGTTAGGGACAGTGAACATTCAGGACACTGGCTAACACACACAGTTGTACAGACTCCGGTGTTAAGAGTCCTAGGGTCAGCACGCTGACTGTTATATGCCCCCAGGCGACCAGCAACTCAGCCTGTAATAAAGAAGTTGCACACTATGCCCATTTGACTTGCTCACTGAGCCACTGGGCAGGCAGGACTCAGGCAGCAGACACCCATTGCCAGTCTTCGCAGAGATCACAGATGACGGCAATGAGGGGCCACAGCTCACTCCCAGACCCTCTGCACAGAAGCAGCATCTTCCCAGGGGCTACTCCCGGCAAGGAAAATGTGAACCTCACCCTGGGATAGCAGAGGTCTGCAGGAGCATTGGGAGGCTAGGACTGAGTCACTCCTGCAGCTCTGAGCCCAGGGCAGCCCCTGACAGTGTCCGAGGAATATTCACCCTACTCAAATTCAAAGTCCTTGTACTTCCACACATGGGGACACACAGTGATGCCTTGTGGTTCTGCTGGGGCCCTAGGAGGATGTTGGTATCCAAGCACTTGTCACGTCTTCCAGGAAGGCAAGCTGCCCCACCCAGGAAAGGACATACCCATGACAACGGGGGTTGCTGTAAGAAAGTAGGTGGCAGCCGGTCGTGGGGACGCATGCTGTTAATGCCGGCACTCAGGGAGGCAGAGGCAGACGATCTCTGTGAGCTCGAGGCCAGCCTGGTCTACAAAGCAAGTTCAAGACAACCAAGGCTACACACAGAAACCTTGTCTCAAAAACCCAAATTGAAAAAAAAAAAAGAAAGAAAGAAAGAAAAGAAAGAAAGAGAAAAGAAAGCAAGAAAAGATAGCAGGACACCAAGGGGAGGTGCAAGTCCCAGACCACCAGAAGTAGTAGGGTTATTGGGGATCCCTGGGGTAAGGCTATATGTAGCTTTTTTTATTGGGCATTTATTGAACGCTTGTGTTCCAAACCTGCAGGTAGTGACTTTTTTGAAAAGGAAATAGGTAACATGCCTCCTCGAGCCTGGTAGGCCGACTCCAGAGTGCAGGCTACGAATGGTGTTAATAGAAGCCTGGGACCATGGCACCAAAAGCAGGTGTTAGGCCACGTGGGCCTGGGCAGAGCAACCCATCCTTGGGTTGACCTAGAGAAGAGACCTCTGTGGAGGGGAAATGGCCAGAAGCCCCTGGCAGCTTCTTCCCACCTGCTTCAGGAGTAGACTGGTCGCACTGGGCAATTTCAACCCCATGTCCAGCTACTGCTGAAGCATAAACTTGTGTCTCAGCTAGGCTGCAGAGGTGGCTCAGCAGCTAGGAGCACTTGCTCTTTCTTGCAAAGGGCCAGGTTTCAGTTCCCAGCACCCACACAGCAGTCCCCAACCATCTGTAACTCAGTTTTTGAGGACCTGTTATCCTCTTCTGGCCGCGTGGGCACTTCTCACATGCAGACAGAACACCCATACACATAAAAAATAAAGGTTAAATCTGGGCACGCCTTTAATCCCAGCACTCTGGAGACAGAGGCAGGCAGACCTCTGTGAGTGTGAGGCCAGCCTGGTCTACAAAGTGAGTTCCATGATAGCCAGGCAAGGCTGTTACACAGAGAAACCCTGTTTTGAAAAACCAAATAGACAAATAGATAGATAAATAAATGTTCAAACAAACAAACAAACAAAAACCTATCAGCTGATTTGGATTCTTGGCATTGTATTCTCCCAGAGGCTCATGCTCCTGAGCTGTGCAGAGACCGTGGACATGTATGCCAGGTGACTACAGAACCTTCTGATATGTTTGTTAGCATATCTGCTGCAGGCCTCAGCTCTGACACGCACATCAAAAACCCATTTCACAGAGGCACAGAGCATTGTGCTTAAGTAAGTCCTGGTTCTGAGACTGCTGGGTTGGGATAAGATCAGACAAGACCTACAGCACAGCCCTGGCACTAAGATGAGGCAGATTTGTGTTCAGGTACTGCGTGTGTGTGTGTGTGTGTGTGTGTGTGTGTGTGTGTGTGTGTGTGTG